GTGCAATTTGTTCATTGTATTTCTTCCATGTTCTCTTCAGTGGTACCTGTGTCAGTATTACAGTAGGGTGATGTCTGCTTGGTCTTATAGATTATCCCTTTATAATTGTCTTTAAGAGAACAGTAAACACGGAGAGAAGAGCATATTTTGTTCTATTAGTTTACTAGTATTATTTTCGCTTGGTTCCCTATTGAACTATATGTTGCTCCAACTCGTTTGTTACCATCCTCCACTTAGGTTCGAATATTGTCTTTGTATTTTAAGAAGTTCGTCATAAAGCTCCTGTGCCAATGAGTATCCGACTCCTAGGGGCATGTCCACTTTGCGCATGTATTTTGGTTAACAGGTTCCATCCCTTCTCTCTCCCCCACTTTATTGTTAAATGAAAATCCTGAGCGCCAGTGACACGTGGTTCATAGTCTCTTGATAATGAGCCCCGTCCTATATCCTTTTCTACTTAAATGCCAAGCTTTTATCTGTTGTAGGTTTGAACCTGTAATGTGTGCCTAACTAACATACCACACCCTGCATTCTTACCACTAAACCAAAGCACTGGGAGCCGACCGATTGCATGCCCTCCAATAATTGTGTTTACCAAAACAAAGTACCGGTCCACTTTTATCTCTTTCTAATTGGAAATGTCATGTCTTTAAGATTTGGATCTTTTTTTTATTTTTTGAGATTCCAACCATGAGCATCCCAGACTTCTCCTACTGTGGCGTCTTGTTGTTGATTCAGGCTGAAGATAATCGGGAAAAGTTGCTTCACTGGATGTTGACCTTACCAGAAAGATGTTTTCAAACCATTACCCACTTGATGATTGCACTTGTGAATTCTTCCCCCAAGTTTCTGATAGACCTCCATAGACAGACTCCATAAGGTGTAGTGACTAATTTGGTTGTCCATTCCCCATCCATTTCATACTTTTGACTAATTACTTTTTTCCAGAGAGATTGTTCATTCGAGCCGAACCTCCATAACCATTTCATCAAAAGACTATGGTTCTGAGCTTTAGGTTCTTGATTTCCATACCACCAGACTGACTTCCATTTGACCAAATGTATCTTCCTGGTATAACAGTTGCCTTGCCAAAGGAAGTTTCTTCTAAGAGCATCTATCACGTTTGTTGGAACACGAAAAAATGGACATCATATAAGTTTTAATGCATCCAACACTGTAAATCAAGATAAATCTATTATCCAAAGATAAGTATTGACTCTTCCAGTTAATCAGCTTTTTCTCACACTTCCCTATGACTCCATTCCAGATATCTTTAGAATTGCTTTTGGCACCAAGGGGCATGCCAAGGTAAATGGTTGGCAGAAACACCAGTTCTTCCTCCCAGAATATTAGCCAAGTTGTGAATGTCAGGGACCTCATCAACGGGGATATAGAAAACTCTTGCTCCAGTTAATTTGGAGCCCAGATATAGCTTCAAAAAGAATGATAATCACCCTCAAAAATCTTATTTGTCCTCTATCAGCTCCACAGAAAACTAAAGTATCATCGGCGTATAGTAAATGAGTGATTTCAAGGTTATTGACGGCCCTTGAATCGACTCTAAAACCTGTTAGCCAGCTATTTTTTGGGCAGTTTTCATCATAACTCTCCATGGCAATGATTAATAAAAAAGGGGAGCCTTAATCCTCTCTGAGAAGAGAAGAATCCAGTGGGTGAGCCATTGACTAGGATTGAGAACTTGATGGTGCTGATGCAATAGCTGATCCAGTTGACCCATTTTTCTCCAAAACCCATTTTCATCATAGTCTTAGTAGGAAATTCCAGTTCAAGTGGTCAAAAAGTCTTTTGTATAGCTAGCTTGCAAAGGACACCAGGTTCTTTTTGTTTCTGATTGTTGAGCCAACACATTCATTGGCTATAAGAATTGCATCCATGATCTGTCTCCCTTTTATACAGGCCATTTGTTGATCATCCACCAGCTTGTGCATCACTTTTTTGAGTCTCTCATCAACAATTTTTAGATAATCTTGTAAATGCTGCCTATAAGACTAATATGCCTGAAAATTTTCAATTCTTTAGCTCTCACCTTCTTGGAATCAACACAACATATGTAGCATTGAAACTTGTCTCTTTCGTGGAAGTTTTGAATAGTAGGAATGACCTCCGTATTCACTACTTCCAACAGTGTTTGAAAAAAGCCATTGTGAAACCATTCTGGGCCAGGTGCTTTATCCCCAGCACACTCTAGGACACTGGACCATATCTCTTGCTCTTCAAATGGACTTTGTAGCATCAGATTATCTTGTGGAAGATTTGGATCATCTTTACTGAATTTGAACATCTTTAGAAGCTTGGATTTTAACTTCGTACAGCTGAAGTTTGGAGAAACAACTATTGGGGCTGTGTTTAAGTGGTGGGTTTGGACTATATTGCACTTACATATTTGGGTGTGAGTGCATGAGAGAGAGAGAGGGAGGATCAGTTGTGGAGGGATGGGGAAGCGAGAAGAACTCTATTTTTAGTGTTGCTAATAATATTAAAGCTGTTCTTGATTATATTTCTTAGAAGTGTTGGTTTTGCAAGTACGATCTCTTCTGTTGACCGTTTGGTGCTGGTAGAGGATTGCCTTGTCGGCTAAGTCACATGAAGCAATAGTCCTGCCGTTTCTGTAGAGTTTCTCGTCCGAAGAAAATGTGCACCCTTCTATTGCTAATAATATTAAAGCTGTTCTTGATTATATTTCTTGGAAGTGTTAGTTTTGCAAGTACGATCTCTTCTGTTGACCGTTTGGTGCTGGTAGAGGATTGCCTTGTCAGCTAAGTCACATGAAGCAATAGTCCTGCCGTTTCTGTAGAGTTTCTCGTCCGAAGAAAATGTGCATCCTTCTTTCAATAGTTCGTACTTAATTTACTCAAATTGAATGGTCTAGAGTAGACTGAAAAATGATTATTGAATTAATAATGTTCAGTCAAATTGAAAGGTTCATAAAGACTATCTATGATGCTGATAGCTTAAGCTGCAAACCACGGAAATCAGGTAATCTATAATTTCCATGATGCACTTAGTTACAGATAAAATAAAAATCTGATGATATAGTGTTAGTATGATCTGGGCCAGATTTTCGGTGAGAACCTATTTCTTCATATTGACTGCAATAATGTGTTGTAAACAGGTGTGCGTTTGGGGGTAGAAACCCAAAGGAAAAAGTTGGAAAAAAATGTGGCAGAAATTTTTAGCAGGGTATAGATTTCCCACGTGAACGGGTTAGGGTTTAAGCAGAAAAACCAAATGACACAAACAACACCTTCATTTTGTTTCTTAAAATCATTTCAAGGTAGATGTTGCATGTTCTTCCTTTGACTGCTTTGTTATTGTCAACTTTTTTGCATGTACGCTTGTGTTCAGGCCAAATTGAAATGAGATTTATTGAGGTACCATTTGGTGCTACCTGGGTGGAGGCCACCATGAGGACATATGGGTTTGATACGGCTAGAAGATTCTTCATAGATACTGTTCAGGTAAAATATCTCGTGATTTATCGGGTCGTTCTGATGTAAAGTTACCTCAATCACGTGCTCATAATCTACAGCTTTTCCCATTGCAAAGGCCCATTAAGTGGGAAAGCGTGGCCACATTTTCATCACCTTCATCCAAAAACTTTGCGTTTCGAGTGGAGGGTGGTCAGACAATGGAACTAGCAATAGCCCAATGTTGGTTCAGTGGCATAGGCAGTCATGAAACAACTATTGTTGATTTTGAGGTAGTTATTTTCGAGTATGACATAGAAGAAATTGGTTCTTAACTTCTTGTATTTATAATTCTGTTCTGAATTATTAAATTTCGATGACCAAAGGATTGTCGTAGGAGGCATGCTGTTGTTCTTTTCTTCTTTTTACCCTATACGTTTTTGTTCTTTTTTTTTCTTGGACCAACATTTCCAGTCTTAAGAAGAGAGGGATTTTGAACAATTAAAGTTGTTCACACCCTCCTTTTGGTTCTGGAGAGACTCTTAATGTGGAGTCCTGCCATTTGAATTGTGTAAGGTCAGTTTGCTGACTTGTCAAGAGGATTGAGTTCTGTTAATGAAGGAAAACGGTTAAAAAGTTGAAGTACCATAAATTCTTTCTATCTTAATTTAAGTAAAGAGTTTCAGATAATTGCTCAGAGTAACTGTTCATTGAATTGTGTTCCCTAGTCGTGCATCTTATATGTAGCAAAATGTAAGAGTAGTTAGTATAGCAATTTAAAATTTCTTGTATAATCCAGAAGGCTGAATTCTTACTTGTTGCCTTCTCCATTAAGAAGGATAGCATAGATGCACAGCAAACATAGCACTGTCTTCTTAAAATGGTATTTATGTTTCAAACGCGGCCATCCTCTCCTGAAGGTAATTATGTTGTTATGATTAAACAATCCAATCCTCAGGAGTTTCTGGAAGAGAACAGGTGCTTGGAAGTAGTGTTAAGGAAAGCTAGCGCTTCATCCGCTTTAATCGGCGAAGCGAGGGTCAGCGCTTCAGTTGGCTGAAGCGAGGCATGTAAAAAGAAGTGACCGCTTCTGGACTTGAAGCGCGATGCGACCAGAAGCGCTGAATTGAGAAAAACAACGCTTTTATTTTTTCAAAATAAGTGATCAATTTCAAAGAATAAAAATAGGGATGACTTACCTAGTTCTTCTTCTTCTTCTTACTACTACTTCTACTGCAACTACCTAGGAAGTTGGTGGTCCTATCATGAATTAGGTCGGGGTGGCTGGTGGTTTAGGGATCCTGTAGAAAATGCTTGAGGAGGAGGTCAATTTTAAGTGTTGGAAGCTACTGCAAAGGGACTCTCCCTCATCTAGAAATGATTGGCAATTGAGAGAGAATAGGGCGATAGCGATAGACAAAGGAACTGAGAAAAAATTCCCCGATATAATAAAGAAAGGAAGAATGGTTCCAAACCATTGAAACATAAAGCACTAAAGACTGATATGACGTGGCAGAAATTAGAAGTAAGAAGCTGATCCTTGTTTGGTCAGAAGGATAATAATTCTTCTTACGTCAGGGGCGGCCAGACCAGGGGTTAACCGCGATTGGTAATGGCCCCATCGAGAAATTGAACTTACTAATCCTAAGTCAAAGGGTCGAGAAACTCAACACCACTGAGACCGACAGGACAACAATTGTATGTCTGTTTTATGATAAGACAACTAAAGGGGGAAACCTTTTTTCTAGTTTTTTAATATGATTTTTTGCTTTGACTTGTCTATTTATTTTGATCTTTTTTCTTTTAAATTGTGCTGCACTTCAATGAGGCGAACGCTTAGCCTCATGCTTTGCCTCACATGCTTCGCCTCACGCTTCGCTTAAAACATGAAGTGGGGCGTTGTCGCTTTTTACCGCTTCACGCTCCCCTAAACACTGCTTGGAAGAATTTTATGCTTTGCTACTTGAATATATTGGGAGACAAATGAGACAGCGATAATGCCTTTGCTTGGGTCTTCGGTTGAAATTCTCAGATCGCATTCCGTGGTATAAACATCAGCAAAGAGGAAGTAGTTCTTGATGGAAGCGAAGCACCTGTGAGGATTGATGCTGAAGCTCTTCTGTCAACTGAAAAACTTGTCCCTTCTGCTGTGCTCAACAAGGTCAAATTTTTCTTTAACTTTTGGATATTAGCCACTTTGATTGACTTCCTCAGGCGGGTGAAATACTTACATGATCTCTTTTTCCTGTTGTAATATGATTTCAGATAAGAGTTCCGTATCGTCC